GGAAGGGCGCCTCTGGACTGGACGGGTTCCAGGGGAAAGAAAGGCTCGACGCTTGCTGTCACAGCATGAGGTGAGGTTCAAGGTGGGAGGATGGATGGATGTGGGCCAACGATTTGCTGCTTGGGATGGGGGTGGCTTGCAGGACAGGGCCTGAGGTAAGACCGAACGAGATGGTCAAGCTTTTGGCTCCGCTGCTTCAGCTAATTACAGGTATTCCTCGGCTCTGAATCGACAAGGAGTGCGGCGTGCTGCCGGCGGGGAACAGGAAAAGAAGCAAATGCCAAATAAGACGGCGTTCTGTTTGGTCATGCAAGAGACGCGGAAACGAGAGAGAAAGAGGCATGGAAAAGCAACAACACCGCTGTCTCGCAAGACAGACCAGACCTGTGTGAGAGAGACGGCAGGCAGGTCTGTCTACCGCAGTATCCTTCTCTGGTGGGCGGCTTGCAGTCTGCAGATGCAGGGCTGGCTGATGACCCCATTCGGACAGCACATTGTCTCATGCGCCATTGTGATTCGTGGATGTGCCTGCCCACCTCTGGGGATTCTCGCTAGTGCTGCGTAGAGGTGATGGATCAATGTGGTGGTGAGCTCTTGGCTCTGGAGCTGCAGGTATTCAAGGCTCAAGCTGATGCTTTCTGATTAAAGACTATCACCGTATGATGACGATGATGGAGGACGACGGATCGTGAGGAACAAAGGCAGACAGGGAAGATGTGGCCCGATGATTAAACTCGAGTAAAAAGTGTATGCCTTGCACAACTCAGAGGATCAACTCAATTCCAAAGCAGGAAACCCATCGAATGCCACAGCGGCAGCAAGTTCAGCAACAAGTCGTGCCGCAGTAGCACGACAGCCAGCCACGAAAACGCCCAGTACCACAGCTCCCCTTTCCCACAGGATCCAGCAAAATCAAGCTTTCCCAAGTGTTCCCTCGCACCAGTCTCGGTGCCTTCGCTCGCCTGCTCCTCCCCATCTTTCATTTCCCCATTTCCGCCGTCCACATGTGCGAGCGGGAGCACGTGGGGAGCTGCTCTGTGTGAGAGGCTCGCTTGCAAGCATCAGCCCGTCGGGCGTGTCCCCTCTGTGTAAATGATCAAATGTCATTGCCATTGCCCCATGACTGACTGCCAGCCGAAGCAGAGCACACAATATCGCCGCGTCCAGGCCGTTGGCATCGGAGAAAAAAAACGAGGAAAAACTACAGCGACATTCGAGAAAGAACCCATTCATTAATTAAGAAGCCCACTCAGAAGAGGCACACCGGCACGGGCACTCTCCCAGCCACGATAATGATCGATTACCGTGCCTGTCCATGTCCCATGTGGACGCCGTAGAATTGCGCACGGCACGCGGCAGCCCGCCTCTGGCTCTAACAAAATACGCCATATTAGGGCGCATTTGGACAGACGAGGGAGAGAGACAGAGCCCGGCATCGAGAGGCCAGGCTCCCTGCCCGATGCCCATCCATTGGCGTTGCTGTTGCGGGTTGCTGTCCGTGTTAGTGCCCCATTCGACTTTCTGACCGTGTTGTATTCTCGTTGGGTGCCATGTGGATGGAATATCGGTCCCTAGAGCTGAAGCTAGGCGATGACCCTCCCTTCCCCTCCAGCGTCCCCTCCAGCGTCCCCTTTCCCGTCCGGGATGCTTAGTCACGACCCGTCCAGCCCACTTCAGCCAGCCCAAGCCTAGCTCCCTCACGATGCTTGGCGCCGTCGTCCCCGTGGCCTCGTACAGAGGGAAATTGCGCGCCAGCTGCGCCCGACTCAATGCAAACAGGCAGCGCCGCTCACTTGCGGGGGAAGGCGGAAGATCAGTCAATCACCAGGCCAAGACAACACACGACCTCGACAAACGGGGAAGAGGGCAGAAAATTGACAGCGCATGCCGCTTCTTCAGCTGCCTCAGCTTACACGCTGCCCATCAGCAACAGATCGATCGCCTCTGGCCGATGCAACTCGACGGCGTCATTAGAGCATGTCACAGCTGCAGTTTTGGCCTTCAAACAAAAGGTCCCTCTCAATATGCCGAAGGCACCTATCAATGACACCATGCAGACTTGCTCGATGGCGGCGGCCCCTTTTCTCCCAACTCCTGGTGCGAGCCGGCGCCAAAGACAAAACTGCTGCATCCAAGCAATGGATCGACGCCAAGGATCCACTGATCAGTGACGGGCAACACACAAATCGACGGTTGGTGTCCAGGACGACTGACTGTGTTCGACGGCGGCGGTTGCTTCAGACGGGCTCAAGACACGGGACATTCCGACGGATGCAGCCCAGATATGTCCCCGGCGACAAACATCTGGTGGGTTTGTGGTTTCGCGCCATTTCGTGAGGCATTTGGAGTGTCTCTCGCTCTCTTTCCTCCGTGCTCTCCTAATGTAATGTCCGAGGTTTGGTCCCGCCGACTTCAGACGTGAATCCATAATCCATCATCCATCGAAGCGTCTGGACGACCCCTTCATGATCGACATGACAAGCAATCGCCGAGCAAACCTCGCCCGCATTGACCATTGATGATTGACGATTAACCAAAGCAAGAAAGAAATTCATGGTATTCCCGTCCATGGCAATTGGAGCCTGGCCTTGACCCTTTTTCCTGCAAAGTCTGTGACAGTTTCGTTCCATCGCAGCCGAGGGCCCACCCCGGCAGAAACAGCAGAGCCCGCTTCTTCTTGCCCCGACGTGAGGTTGTCTGAACGTCAAAACGGTTTCAAGCAGCTTCAAACGAGCATTTCCACCCGCGAGCATGCCCATGTCGGCCCATTGAAAATGCCACTTCGCGACCGTGGGAATGAATCTCCCCTCTCCCAATGACACGAAAAAAATCCGAATGGCATGCTTTGCCTACCCTTTGCCAAGCATGTCCGGTAATACCTGCTTCAGGTCAAAACTTGAGGCAAGGGAGGTCGAGCCGACTCCATCCTCCGTCGTCGCAGATCCCTCGCTCGCTTTCTTTCGTTGATGTCATGTTGCCTTGTGCCTGGAGAAAGAGACAACCGACCAAAGCAAAAATAGGGGATCGACGATTGGCAGGCAAACTCCACAAAAAAGATGAGCTGAGATGTGGTTGAGGCTATTCGCACTAGCAGCCCGCCCGAAACGTCAGTCACTCGGGCCCTTTCCTGCAGAGGAGGGTCAACGGCAGCACACAACCGCAACCACAACCTCGCTGCTAGGTTATCCGTCGAGGGCTTTCCGGCTGGGCCGCGAAAGTTCCAACATAAGCAGTCCCATCCAGGGCAGAAAAAGAGAGTGAGAAGAGACTGCTGGTCCGCGGGCTGCTGCAGGCTGCAGTGTTCTCCTTCCGGCTTAGTCCCTGTAGGGCGGCGCAAGAGAGGTCTGGACCGGCCGACCTTGTCCTCAACTTCCTCGTCAACGCGGCGGGCCCAGAGGAGCGGTAGGTGCTAGGAGGGCGTGCTAGGCAGAGCTGGGAATGGTAGACGAGCACGCGACCAGGCAGCCGGTTGAGTTGGGTGTAGTGTACCTACTTTACGGCGCGGAGGCGGAGGCGGTGTTCCCTTGACCGTTGTGTGCAGCTGCGCAAAGTGTCTAGGGAGGGGAGGGGTTGGTGAAATTTCCCGCGAAAGCAATGCGCAGCACGGCGTTGTATGAAGAGCCAGTGGGATGCCGTGTAGCGTATTCCGCAATATGTGAACGAAGAGAAAGTCCAGGCCAGGCCCCCAGGGAGCAGCCGTAAACAAGCTTTGAGCTACTGCGGGGCTGTCTTCTTGTTCTTCATTTACAGATTAAAACAGATGTTCGGGCCCCAGAGGAGCTGCGATGATTGCTTCTGGAAGTCGTTCGTATTCCGCGGACCCTCTAGGGCGCATGGCGGGAACGGTGATGCCGGTGCCCTCTTTGGGCCAAGCGAGGTGCTGACATCGCGAAATCTACAGTGGCGGGGTGGAACTCCGTTCAAAGGGTCCAATGGGCAACATCACAGCACACGATAGTCGGGCGACGATGGCTGTGCTAGTGGACCATGATCACCGTGATCAATTATGGCGGGTGGTTCGTTGTTATGCGGTTCGTGGTGTTTGTCTGCATTGGTTGTCTCTGAGAATCTGGGGGAGGCCGCGGGCCGCGATGGCAGACGCGTTACCTTGGGGTTTAGATTCTTTACGGATACCAAAGTGAGGTAGTATAGATTGAGTTGTCGGCCATATTGGTTGACGTTGGCCCTGCATTGCCCGGAAAGTCAGGATGGAGATGGGACGACTACGACGACTACGACGACGACGATCGATTGACTTTCGCGTCGTCCGCGCAAGCTTTTTGGGTTTCTACATGGCAAGGACGAAAAAAGAAGTTCCCGAAGCTTTGGCATCCCGCGGACCCGGGCGAACCTCCATCGTCGTCAATTGCGCGTCACACCCATCCCGAGTCAAACCAGAGCAGCCGTGTGTTCAGAGTTGAGATGGGCGAGGCGGATGAGACAACACCAACACATCTGGTGTCTGTCGCAGGCAGGCATCCGCGATTCCTAGATTTAAGTGCGTTTCCGTAGCACCCGACTCCCGACTCGGGCAAAAGTTAAGCTTGCTGGCAGAGGTGAGAGCTGCAGAGTTGCACGCGGGAGCCGTGTTCTCTACGATTGGCTCTGTCTTTTCCAGGAAGCACGGCGGGTGCCGCTCCTCTCGGCCACCGAATAACGAGCCATTAAGGTCCCCAATGCGGTTAGTGGCCCGGGCGGGAGACCCCTGCCAATCTGGCCTGACTCGGTCCCGTCCCCACCAATCTCCTTTCCCCGTCTGTGCACGCTCCCTTTTTTTTTTTCAATTGGGTGAGCTGCATAGCACCTAATCAATTAACCACAGTGGCCAGCCTTGCGCGCCCTCGCTCCAACTTCACTCCATCCGCGACCGCGAGGCTGAGAGGGTCCGACGCCTCGATGCCAGCAATCCCGCCCATCACCGACTCACACGGCCATTGAGCGCTCGCACTGATCTCGTGTCTCTCTTCTCCCCAACGCCGCGTCCGGCGGCACACGCCTCAATGTCCCCGACTACCCCGACGGACTACAATGCCCCTCCGCCCCTAACCCGCTCCTCCACCCTCCCCGCCGGCCTCAACGGCACCACCAACATCACCACCACCAACGGCGCATCCTCCACGACCAGCTCCAGCGTCACCCCGACGAACCTCCAGCCCCAGAACCGATCCCACCTCGCCCCCGAAGATGCCTTCCTAGCGACCTCCCCTCCCCGCCGCCCCGTGCAGTCCTTCCCGGACGCCGGCGTCGGCGCAGACCACCGCGCCGCCCGCGCCCGACTCCGTCACAACGCCGGCGGCCGCAACAGCATCGACCCCCTCGCCGACGGCATCCAGCACCGCTCCCGCTCCCGCCGCAGCCGCAAGCGCACCTGGAAGAAGCTCATGTGGGTCAAGCAGAGCTACCCGGACAACTACACCGACCAGGCCACCTTCCTCGAGAGCCTGCAGCGCAACCCGCGCCTGCAGCCCTACGACTTCTGGCCCCTGGTCGCCGACTCCACCGTCATCGTCCAGCACGTGTGCTCGGTGATTGTGTTTATCGTCTGCTTCGTCCTCATCTTCCAGGAGCGCGTCTCGCCCGTGTCCATCGTCTCGTGGGGCAGCCTGGCCACGCTGCTGGGCTGGCTGCTGTGGGAGCGCTGGGAGGCCGACGAGGAGCGCATGGCCGTCGAGCGCGGCGTGAACGGCGTCGTCGAGCCGGGCGTGGTCACGAAGCGGCGGGAGACGGTCAGCCGGAGGACGGGGAGCATGCCGCGGCGTCCGCCGTCGCAAGTCGACGAGTCTTCCACGGCCACCACGGCCACGAGCTCCGTGACGAACCTCTCCACGAGCGCCGAGCGTCTGCCGCGGCACTCGCACTCCGCCTCCGCGAGCTCCCTCATCTCCTCCACCTCGGCCACCTCCCAGCCCGCCTCGTACCGCCGGCACAGCCAGGAAGTGGTGTCGAGCAGCAGCAACCCGCCGCTGCCGCGCCGCGCCTCCTTCCCACTGCCCGGCGACGACACCTCCCGCGTCCACCAGCGCTTCGGCACCATCAAGAGCGCCATCCTCATCTACTCGACGCTGCTCGGCCTCTCGCCCATCCTCAAGTCGCTCACGCGCTCCACCTCCAGCGACAGCATCTGGGCCATGTCCTTCTGGCTGCTCGCCATCAACATCTTCTTCTTCGACTACTCGGGCGGCGTGCGTGTCAACATCCCCGCCTCGCTGTCCACCAACGCCGCCCTCATGGCCTCCACCGTGCTCGCCAGCCGGCTGCCCTCCACCGGCCAGGTGTTCAGTCTGACGCTCTTCAGCATCGAGGTGTTTGGCCTGTTCCCCGTCTTCCGGCGCTACGCGCGCCACCGCAGCTGGGGGTACCACTACGCCATGACGGTGTTTCTGGTTCTCGGCGCTGGCGCGGGTGTGGGCATCATCCTGGGCGACCACAACGGCGCCGGCGGGTGCTGCTGGCCGTGGAAGAGCGCGTGTATTGGCATGGTTGTTAGTGTGCTCATTGCGGCGATTGCGATGGGAGGGTGTAGTTGGTGGCTGATTGGGTTGCAAAAGTACAAGAATGAGATTTACGGCCCGTGGGACCCCGCGAGGCCTATTATTATGAGTCGACGACTGTGGGACGATGGTTGAGAGAAGGGATTTGATGATTTCATAGACATGAAGAGAGTGGTTTTAATTATACATGACTGACTGTTCCTACCCTACGTCATGAGTATTCGGCCACGCTCACGACAAGCCACTTCAAGAGTCGTGATGTTGAACACAACTTATCGGGCGTGTATGAATCGAGGACGAAGGCCTCAGGCTGCCGACTCTTTGGCTGTGACCGTCGCCACTTCCGCCTCGGTAACGGATTCCTTCTCCTCGCCCTTCTCGTCCGCCTCGCTTGTCTTTGCCGGAGGGGAGCGGGCGTGACGGATTCCATAGTGGTCCAATACGCTGTCCAGCACGGTGTCCAACGCCAAAACCATCACCACGAAATACCCAACGTCACGAATCCGCCCCCACCGCCCGGCCCTCAACTCCTTCTTCCAGGCGGCGGCCCTCTCCAGTTTTTGGACGTACTCCTTGCACGTCGACGCCCGCTCGTGCAGATCGACTGCGACCAAGGGCTTGCGGCGGATGAGATCCAGGACGCTCTGGGTTGTGTTGCGTCCTGGGGTGGCGCAGCCTAGCTCCGTAAGGTGCGTCTCGATGTCTTTTCGGAACTGCTCCTTGGCTGCGTCCAGCTTCCTCGGGGTTTCTCTTTGGAGGGCGAGGCGGTGCGCTTCGTAGGCCTTTTTTGTGGCTTCTAGGGCGTCTTTATTGCTGAGCTTCTCGCGCGATTCGTTGGGTGTTCTAGAGGAGAAGTTCTGTCGTCTGAGGAGAGATTGGAAGGCGGGTGATCAGTCGAATGTGGGGGTGCGGGACAGGACTTGAGGTTTGTAGATGGAGGAAGGGCTTGTGAGGGTCTTGGTGATGGCTCGCTGGGAGCCGCGGAACAGGTTTGAAAACATTGTTAAGGCGGGGTATGATTGTTTTTTCTGATGATCTGTGATGTTGTGGTTTGGATGTCATACCACGCGTTCAGGGGTTGAGGATGGGGTTGTTATATATCGATTGGGACGTTGAGGTTGCTTGCACCTGACAATCGGAGAAAACAGGAATAGAACCTTGTGGCATTCTTTACGAGCCCGAAGTACAATAGTAACTTGTTTTAATTTTTTTGAGATTTGTAGATAGATGAATGAATTGAGTATGTTCTTATTGTCATGTACAGCGTCTGAGATGAGTTGAATGGTGTTGCTGTCAACCTAGTCATACATGCCCCCTCGTCGATGCGCCCAAAAGAATTCCCCATCCTGCAACGAAGTTCTGCTACCTTTGCGTATCCAACTTCTCGTCAGGCGTATCCGACTCGTCATTCGGCTTCAGCCGACGATGGAACGGAACAGGCGTCAATTTCCAGATGATCACATTGAACACGATAAATCCCAGTAACGGCTTCGTCACGAGCCAGATCATCACTAGCCAACACACTAGATCGGCGGGCATTCGTCTGACGAAGTCGTTGTCGATTTTCAGCCGTGGCTGCTCCGGCTGGTTGTGTCCTTTAGTCGCGGTCATGTTGACACGGCGCGCTCGTTCGATCTCCGCCATCTCTGCTTCGACTTTGGAAATACGCTGCTTGAACGCCTCCTTGAGCCTCTGCTTGTCTAACAGCAGCGCGCGCCGGTGCGCTGCGTAGGCTTTTTCGTAAGCTTTCCTGGTGATTTCCAGGGTTGATGTTTCGGTGTTAGGCGGATTGTGAGATGGTGATGCGTTGCGTGGACCGGAGGAGAATGGTTGGTGTCTGGTGAATGATCGGAAGGCGTTGGATGACTTGGCGACTGCAGAGGTGCGGCATAATGGTAGTGGAGAGGGAGGTTGTTTTCCATAGACGCAGACTCCATTCATGATTGCTCTCTGGGGGCCGCGAAGTAGACGTGGAAACATCCTTTATGTGGGATGTCGAAGACGACAATAGGTAGAGACGATAATCAGACACGACAATTGAGTATGAATGAGTCTGCGGGAAAAGTTTTCTAGCACGGGAAAAATAGGGGTTCTTTGAAGTGAGTAATTGGGACATTGAGGTCGCTCACACCTGACCGTCACAGAAAATAGGAGCCTTGCCATGTTCCTGGGCTTTCTCTTTTGGAGCAGAACGTATGGAAGCAACCTGATTTCCCTTTCTTTTCTCTCATTATTACAAGCTGCGTCTACGAGGGGCTGAAAAGTGCTACTGTTCCTAGTTATGTACACGTCCTCGTCTCCAGAGGTAGCCTGAGGGCCGCTCACGAAACAATATCTGGATTTTCCTTTGATATAGGGCTGGTGTCTGGTGAAATCTCTCCCGCCGTCTCATTCTCCTGCTTTTTGGGCTTTTTGGGGTCTACCATCGCACCGACGACAGCTATAACAATGGTCGCCAAGACCAGCTTCCAGAACATGTACCTCTTCTGCTTCTGAGTTTTGTCCCAATTCATCTCGATTTTATCCAACTTCTCGCTTATTTCGCGCAATGCCTTCTTTTTCTCGCGTGCCTTGTTTCTCATCTGTATCGTCTGGCTTGTGGTTCGCAACGCGAGCTGATGTTTGCGGTACCTCCTTGGCGGCACTCGATGAATATCCGCCAGCTGATTCTCTCGACCGGCTCTCTCCGGTACTCGGCAAATAAGCGCGAGATGCTTCTTGCGTTCAGCTCTTGCTGCTACTCGGCAAATGATGCCTCTTTTGGTGGTGCTGTCGCTCTTGTTGTTGGCTCCGTTCCCCCCGTTAGCGTCGCTTCCGCTGTTGACTGTAACTTTCCTTTGGGAGGAATATTGCCTTGTACAGGCAAGCGGTCTGAAGGCTGTGTATTGCCGTTGGATCTGTTTTGGGTGCCGAATCAACGCTTCTCGACAGAGCATTGGTGTTTGGCGTGTTGGGCTTGGGCGGGCAAGGGTGGTGATGGCTCGTTGAGAGCCGCGAAAGATGTTTCGAAACATGGCTATTGATTTGGAGCTTTACTCTGGGTGTGTATTGGTGTTGCTCTGATCGCTGTACCTTGGACCGGAATGAATGCCGTGGCAAGTTCAGCATCATAATCATGGATGCCTTAAGTAGTGAGGAAGAAAGCGTAAAACTCACCAGGTACTCAGCTTCGGCACCTGCCATATAAGGTCGGGTGCCAACATCTCCATTCAGCGTTTGGGGTTTTCCTGGCTACAGCAGATAGAGGTTCTTGTTTTTCTTTATCAAATTCGAAGTCAAGCAGAGCACATGTTAGGAAAATATCGGAGACAACATTGGAACTTTCCATGGTATTCGTAGTAGACGGATCTATGTGAACGGTGTGCCACCCCTCCGGTCATCTCCGACCCCCCGAAAACCTCTATTTCAGAGCGCCTAGATCCACCTGTTGACACCGTGAGGGTAGGCCGAGCCAACACACAACTCTCCCTGGCAACCCGATCGGCAAGGGCCGGAGGATTCAGTATTCCGTCCGCAAGGGCCCGCGTTGGACTTGTTGCTGCTCTTTTCCTCCTTCATCGCCTGTCCCATACAAGCGTAACCCAATTTACGATTGTTTCGTGGCTGGCCGTTTTTGATCATCTTCTCGAGGCAGAATGTTGTCAGGTGGTAACCTCCGAATAAGCCCACGACGAACATGGCCCCGTCTAGAGCTCCCCAGACCCAGCGCTGTTCGGTGGTCATGGCGTAAAAGGCATTTGTGCCTGGTTTCGCGTTGGACTTCGCGGAATTCTGTCCAGGTTTGTGGTGCCTGGGCTGAGGTTGAGGCGCGGGAGTTGTGTGAAAGTAAGTGGCCTGGCGCAAGGGGGATTTGGGAGTAGGAAATTTATGCCCCGAGCCCCCGAGGACAATACCGGTGACGACTCTGAACATTTTGAGATTGTTATCGGTCTGAATGTGGGTGATTGTATGTGGTTGGCGGGTCTTGAATTCAGAACGTGATGAAGTCTTGTGGTGTGTTGTTCTGCGCTGCGCGAGAATTCATGAGATATATCTGATAATTACGAAAAACGGATTTCAAGACAGTCTAAGAAGCTCTCCTGTGGTCGGTGCTTTACAGTTTGCCCCGTTGGTGCCGTCCATAACCATGAAAGGTGTGAAGCATCCATACATGTTGGACATCAAGCTTGTTTTGACTTCGCAATGGGCTTACGAAGAACATGAAATCTTTGTTTTCCAACCCTCTTTCATTTCCAACTCGATCGAAGAATCGTCCTATATCGAAAAAACCAGAAACCATGTCGTTGCAATCCTGCGGCATCGCCTGCAGGCTCTTCAGCCTCACGGCCAGAAGCCCTCTTACATCTCGATCGCACAAACAGAGTGGCCTGGTCGTTGCTCGCCTCCCTGAATCAATCTTCCACCCTCCTCGTTGGGGTCCCTCGGGGACCGCCAGAGCTTTCGCAACAACACCACCACGCGAGGCGACCAACAGCACCATCTTGACCATCATCCAAAAGCTCCGCAACGAGGTCGACACCGCCCAGGCCCAAAACAGAAACCTAGTAGAAAGACTCCAAAAGGCCGACGAAGAGAACAGACGCCTGGCCGCGAAGCTGGGTCAGTCCGACGCGGAAAGGCGCATCGCGCAGATGCGGTACGAGAAGATGAGCGAGCGGCTGACGGAGAACAACAAAACCATGGAGCGATGGCAGCAGCGGAATGTCCGCTTCCAAGAGCAGCTTGAGGTTGAGGCGAAGAGGAACCTCGAGAAAGCCAAGCACGACTTTGAGAGGAAGTGTGAGAACAACCTGAAGTCGTACTTGAAGCTTGCCGAGAGCAAGGATGCCCATATTCGGGAGCTTGAGGACATGAAGCACTCGGCCTGGGTGGTTGCTGCATTGATCAAGGTTGTTGGGGGAACCATTTGCATTGGCATCATTCTACGTTTTATCTTGTTTGCGGGTTTGGTGATTGAGGAGGATTTGAGGAAGGCGAAGATGGAGAATAAGAACATGTGAGATCGGAGCGGTGGAGGTTGAGGACCGCTCCTAACCGATGCCATTTTCATTATGCTATAGAAGTAAACTTCCGTTTAATAGGCTCACTAATATATAGTGTTGTTCTTAATATTATGATCTTTATTGTTCTCGTCGTTCTTCTTGTTATTGCTATCCCTAATATAGTCCTTATTATCGTTATTGTCCTTGTTATTAATATCGCCCTTGTTATCGTCCTCGTCGTCGTCCTTATTATCGTCGTCCTTGTTGTCGTCCTTGTTGTCGTCCTTGTCGTCGTCCTTGTTATCGTTATTTTTGGCATTGTCGTCTACGTAATCATAGATTTAGCTGTCCTACTAGGTTTGGTATCAGCTTGGTACCATAGAAACATAGCTGCATAAAACTGAAATTTAGCGATAGTATCTACTGGCCTAGCCATTAAGTAAGGTGATAGAGGTTTCGAACCACTTCTCTACGTTTTCTTGTGCCTGGAAAATATGCGATGGGCGCCTTCTACCATATGTTAGCAATGAGGGAAGGCGAGCTCTGCAACAAGCCCTTGCCATCAAAGACCTCTTTCCTCAATAGTTTCGCTAGCGCCTCTCAACTTTTCATACCGCCTGCCCGCTTCACCTTAAGTAGGTTTGCTGCCTCTCCTGTCGTTCGCTTTCGATATTGCTTTCCTATCTCTCATCTCACCCTCACCCTCCCAACCTCACCTTCCCGCCCGCAACCCATGGCTCCCACTTTTCCACCCTGCCCTCATCTTTTCCTCTTTTCTCACCTGACCGAATCCTCGCGTCCCTCTCCCTGGATCTTTCCTCTTCAGACCGCTCCGCCTACTTCGCTGGCAAGTGTTTTGCCCAAGTTCCCTCACTGTCATTCTTTCCGACTCAACCACGACGGCCAATCGAACCTGAAATATCCAATGATTTGCTGAAAATGGACGAGGAAGGTGCGGCAATGGTGCTCCCTGGCCGGCAGTCCCAGCCGGATCGGGAACAGGCGGACGCGCAGATTCGCGAGCTATATGAGCGAAAGATGGAAATGTTCAAGGTCAAAGAAAGCAGACAGCTGCACGAAAGATGCCTCCGAATCCTTGCGACGGACCTGTACGATACTGCAACACACTTTATCTTGGAGTTGCTCCAAAATGCAGACGACCTCGACTACGCTAACCTGCAGCATGACGACGACCCGACCTTTGGAATTGTCTTGAGCGCACCAAATAACACCTTCGAGACTCACTGCAATGAGGACGGTTTCACCATTGATCACATCGAAAGCCTGTGCGACGTTGGCATGAGCAAAAAGGCACGGAAGAAGGACGTACACTCCGGATACATCGGCGAGAAGGGCATTGGATTCAAGTCCGTTTTCGGCGTGGCAGATGTTGCGTACGTCAGCAGCGGATTTTATCACTTCAAGCTGGATACCAAGAATGAGCTCGACGCCAAGGAGAAGACGCTCGTTGGGATGCTGGTACCAATTCCGGCAGACTATCCGTCCTCGACGGCTGTTGGAACAACACGCATGCTATTACAGCTCAAGGGTCCAGAGGCATACACGGATATCAGAGAAAACCTGAAGCAGATCAAGCCTGAAATCCTGCTGTTTTTTCGCCGACTGAGAAGAATCAAAATCAAGACCGAGGACCGTAACATCGATTATGCGTATTTGCTCAACGACAATGACGTTGGTTTCCACGGCGAGACGAGAACTTTGACCGCCCTTGATCGTCAGACACATACCACGAATTTGACAAAGTACATCATCGTTCGTCATGCTGTTGAAAACATGCCCGATACGCAGAAACGAGAAAACATTTCCTCATCGGAAATCACTTTGGCGTTTCCTCTCACGAAATCCAACAAGCCCGACTCACAAGTCCGAGACGTATTTTCGTTCATTCCTGTAGGCTCTTATGGGTTTCGGGTAAGAATACCCCTATCCTATCGGGCCTCAAAGTCCTTCCTGGATCTCTCACTACTCTTTCACTACCCACTAGACGAAACTCTTGCTGACTATTGACTAGTTCATCATACAGTCGGACTTCATTCTGACTGCCAATCGAGAGCAATTGAAAGACTGCGAGTGGAACAGAAAACTTCGACACGCCATTCCCGAGGCATTTATGAGAGCAATTGAACGGTTCCTTATGTTCGAGAATGATCTCAGGTATACGTGGCCAGATTTCTTGGTCTACGATACCACCCATGGGGATTTCTGGGAAGACCTCGGACCTTATATCCTTCGACATGCCAAATCCCGCCCGGTGTTGCAAAGCCAAGCCGGCAACGTCCAGCTACCTGAAGACCTTTTCTTCGTCCCAGCGGAATATCGTCTAGATGGTGTAGCGCTGATCGACTCCAAAGAACAGCGCAAACTTACGTTGGCTTTTGAATACACTCTCGACCTTGTTCTGTCTACTGGGCTTCGACTACTGGGAGTACGCGAAATGAAGCACAGGGATTTCATATCCCAGTTTTGCGAGTGGGTGAAGACTGAGCCTGATGAGTTCAACAGCAAGTCAGAGGAATGGCATCGAGAGGTTGCGAAAATACTCGTCAGAGATGGCTGTCACTTGGAACAGTTGAGGGAGCTGCCTATCGTCCCGACATTTAATGGCACATTCGTTCCAGCCAAGAGCAACAACTTGTTTCGTGCATCAATCGATGATGCTTGGACTGCGCCTTCCAGTCTGAATTTGCAAATTGTTTGCTGCGAGGTTAGACGCGATAGCCATCGGGAAGCTCTTTTCGAGTTTCTTCGCGTCGCAGAGATAAACACAGCGAATATGTGCTCGATAATCTTGAACATGCACAATTACGATGACAAGGACCGACCTCCACAAGACCTGGTTGCAGAATTGATCTTTCTGTTTCGTAACCGATCGTGCGTCAATGCCACAGATAGAGAGCGACTTCGCCATCTTTGGGTGGTTGCCGCCGATGGTCGGAGGACACTACGCGCTGGGTTGATTCACTTCATTGACCGCAAGATCAAAAACAATCTCATACTCAAGCATTATACCTCTTCTTACTGCTTGAATTTCATGGACTCGGAATATTCTGAGTACATCGAGGTCATCGAGCGATGTCGGACGCACAAAGAGGCCGAGAACCAATTGATTCCACCACCTGGCGAGATTGTCACTCAGATGCACTTTCGTCTCTGGCTGGAGAAATCCTGTGGTCTCGCGAGGTTTCCACGGCTGGTCACCACACGCCGGCGGTATGCTGAACTCACTAAAGAATGGGAGTTTTTGAGTCAAAATTGCGTCAATGATCTTCTGGTGCTCGTCAGAGACCGGTGGGCAATTGAATACTACCAGTATGAGAGACTAATAGCTATGGAAGCTAAGAAGCTGAGAGTCCAGTGTCGAGATGGACGTGTTCGGGAGCTTCAAGAAACAGCTTTGGCAACAGATTATCTCGAGCAAACTTGTCCGCACCTCAATTTTGTGGAGCTTCCAGACCCTGAACACGAAGATTGGAAGACGATCTTGCCTCGCTTCTCAGTTGTAGTTGAAGTAAGTGTTGACTCAAGCATCCAGGAACTCCAAACACTGTGCGACACGCCAGTTACAAACACAATTGCAGACGCAGCCCGCCGGATTTATCGGCATTTATCGCAAAACTCTGGAAAACTGAAGAGATTGGCTTCGTGAGTAGATTTTGCTCGGCTACCTCTCAACCGTGTTAGCTAACAAAAGTAGGACGTCAATTCTTGGCCCGAAGCGTCTCATCTTCTACCCAGGTCACGGTTGGGTGTCTTCGGACCAGTGCGTTTGGGAGAGCCCCGAAAGCCTGAAAAGCGCCCTCTCCTTGGCTGTGATATATGATGATTGCGGTGCTCTCTTCAAAGACATACTGGGCATCAAAGATGCAGGAATCAGAGAAGTGGTGCAAGAAATGGAGTGTTCGACAAAGGATCCTAGTCTACAGGATACCAGCACATCCAAGGAGCTGATCTTGTTGTTGAACGGGCATATTAGCCCGGAGGCCCCCTGCGAGCCGCAACCCCCCTACTACGCTGATGATCTACGAGGCAGAGTGCAAAGATTGAAGATCTTTCCGATCGCGTCGGCCTCTAAGTCCACTGTCAGTTCGGAAAACACCAAATTCATGTCACTCGAAGATGAGTGGTACATAAACGATTTGGCATCGCTGGCGGCCGCTTTCGAGGGACAAATCAATGTCCTAAGCTTCAGCATACGGGAGTACGAAGAGCTTCTCCCAGTGGTAAAATGGCTACGCATCGAAAGTCGCCTTTTGAGCGAAGCTGTCAGGGAGGATGTTACAGTTGTTGGCTCACAGATACCGATGAAGACTTGGTCAAAGTCTCTGCAGATGCGGGCAAAGTTCATTGCCGTGTGAGTTGGCTAGCAACAGAGACTTCGATCTATGAAATTCTAATCGTTTGGCAGGCTGGCGGAGGAAAAGATTGAGCAGACCCCTCCGGTATTCAACGTGTGTCAAGTCCGGCGTCTTGAGGTTGTGAGAACAATCGGTCAAGCTGTTGGCGAAGCGAAATGTGCCAAGGTTTTTATCAAAGAAAGGAGCGGCTCTGTTGACATCTTTGTCTTGCGCAACCCTTTTGACAAGCCGGAGGAGCAAGTCAGCCGCGAACTTCTCTGCTTTTTCCTTAAGCGATATTCAATCACCGATGCGACGCACACCTCACTGGTCCCCAGTATTCTGCAACAGGACTTGAGCGAGCTACCGGAGTTGTTGGAGCAGAACAAGATCCGATGCCCCTGGACAGTTGACGAAGAACCAAAAGAGACAGATGGTCAATGCAAAGACGACTCTGCTTGCCTGGCCCGTTCTCCAATTGGAGGACACAATGCATCGACGACAACGAGAGGAGACGACTTTGTCGACTTAACGGCAGCTCTTCTACCACACAGACATGATACACCATCGCCCAAGGGAGACGCTCGCCCTGCTTTGAGTCGTTTCAAGCAAGTCGGACTGCTTGGAGAAGCTTGGGTGAGTCAATCATATGACAGAGAGTCAGATCTATGTGCTAACATTCGACCAGATGAATGAGTATTTCAAGAAGCGAGTTTCAGACTGGGACCCAAACGTACACTGGACAAGCAGGTTGCGGGTTGAGAAGGGATATCCGGATTTCCTTGGGGACGAGTCAAAGACGGCAGATTTCACGTATACGGACGAGGAGGGCCGCATGCTTCCTGTCATGGGTCTTTCTTCCCATGCTCAAGATGGGAGACACAAGCACATCACATACCACATAGAGGTAAAAGGGACTGTGCTTGAATTCAGTGAGCCATTTCATATGAGCCAGCATCAAATGGATATGGTAAGTACCTTACGTCTCCGTTGATTCAAGGCTTATGGCGCTGACTCTCGCAGGCACTCAAGTACTCGAAGCTTAACCCCACGGATATTTACGTGATCGCTCGTGTCTACCACCTTGACCACAGGCATGCGGACACCAGAGTCAGGTTCTACATCAACCCTTGGCGCTATATTAGCGCAGGCAGACTCAAACTTAGGAGTGAAGGCTATGAAGTCATTCCTGCGGAAAAATGAGCTTGCGGGCGGGTGCATAGAAAAGGAGTTGGCTATGGATTGGTCTGGCTGTGTTCCTTGGAGAGGGCACCTGAGAACGTTGGAGATGAAGCACAGAACTTTGATACGCTATTCCTGAGAATTTTATGGAAACAATCGACAAGTACCTCATGTCCAAGAATGACCTCAGGTACACGTGGCTAGAGTTCTTGGTCTACGACACCACCCACGGGGAGAGACACGAAGTTGTTAGTTCGTGGGGCTTCAGAGGTGGCCGTTTTCACAGAAAGAAACATTTCATCTCGCTCAAGCGCCACTCCAGACTGCATTTCGTTATCTATGTGATACGTGATATGATCGAAACCGTATGCTTGCCACCTCACAAGCCACTGTTCATAGTCAAGACCCCAAAATCGAGCGTCACTCGTTTCTTCTCTTTGACCCAGGAAGCTCAATCCGCGTTGCAAGTATCAATGAAATCTGAGAACCAGCGGCTGAAGTCGGAGGTGATCCATTTAGTTATGAGGTTGAGGCATGTGCTTGGCACGTAAATGCCGGCTGACAGAGACCAAAGGCAGCGTGATCAATGGAGAATTACGTCCAGCTAGGCAAGTCATTCGCTTGTACCATGCCGATACCCAGACCACGAGCTGCAATTGACGACAATGAGAGGAGGCGAGTTCGTCCACTCAGCAGCTGCTGATTCACCTTACATGGACGTAAAGTACCCTGTTTTTATCTTATCACCCCCAAAGGCTGAATAGCCCTTCTCAGCCCACAGCTTACTTATTCAATGTAGGTTTACATCATAGCCCGGAATTCGTTTCAGAGATTACTTATAATATATAAGACAAGAGCAGAAACAATGATCAAAACAAGGACAATTAGGATAACGACGACGACAAGGACGACGACGACAAGGACGACGACGATAAGGATAACAATAAGGACAATAATAAGAAGAAGGGTTTCAGTGTGTAAATCTAGCGGTGTTTCAAACAATCAACTCACCGAAGCTTCTCTAAACAGTCCGATTCGTTTGAAACTGCTCAAAGCAGGGCTGGTGTCCTCCGTGGGCGACGGTGTATCACTTATAAAGCTGAGAAAGGCTATGCTTTAAGCAATTGAGATCTCTCGCCTTCGTGAGGAGTGGTAAAACAATAAATTTGGTGAGCAGCTTGAACTGTCATTTCCTTTGAGAAATTCCAATTCTAGCACTAACAGGCACCGAAGCATTCAGTGCGGGTTAAAAGGGACTCTACAAGCTTTTTCATTATTCCTCGCGTCGACCACCCACAACGCAAACCTAGCGTCAAGTTTCACGTCGATCCCTGGAAATTGATCTCCAAAGGTCAGTTGAGAACGGGCAGCGAGAGCTATAGAATCGCGCCTGCGAATGAGTGAGCTGGCGCGATGGGTCCATAGGAGGCGTTGTTTCTGGATTTGACCTCCCTCTAGAGAGGGCCCCTGAATTGTGGGAGATGAGTAAGGACTTTGTTAAGTTACTCTTTTAATTCTGAATTAATTGATCTTTGGAAGCGGTTTGATCACGCTCTTGATATCACATCCGGTGGCCTCAGTCCTGCAGCTTCACAACTCATGAGTTTGAACGGATCGTGAGCTTCTCCCGGAGACGAAGGCCCGAAGGCTCCCGGGGAACGTTGGAGAAGAAACTGGATTCAGCCAACCAACGCAACCACGCCCGCACATGTGAGAGCGTGGGAGAATTGTGGAGCTCCGGGTCTGGCTCGCTGAAATTGCAGTGAGGACGGAGACGGAGAAAAGGGCGTCCATGCCGGGGGGAACGTCTGTCATGTCGGGGATGGTTGTGTTTGTTGCGGGGAGCCGCAAGGTGACAAGGTCTCCCAAGGGCCCAGGCACACACAGGCGGCGCCCGCCTGCAGGGTGGCAGTTCCCAGCCAACGAGCGAGGATCAGAGCTCGTGTCGGGTGGAGAATGCGCGCAGCAGCGATCGGCAGAGTGATGCAGGAACAATTCCTGGGGTGAGAGGAGAGTCTTGGGTCACAGGTGATGTTGACGGGTGGTGTTATTCATAGAAATCGGGTTTCTCCTGGCCTTGGTCAACAACTCAATTGAGTAAGAGTATCAGTTGAAGATTTCTTCCGCCTCAGGCTGTGTGAGACAGAGGAGAAGAAAAACACCCGAATGATAAGGCGGTTCCCAAGGTTCAATGTTTTTGTTTTTTTTAACCTTTTCCGTGTATGATTAAAGTCTCCATCTGGTAGGCCGGGTTGTCCGGTGGTCGGCGCTGCAGAGCAGATTGCTGTTGCTTCTTGTTTGACAAGGAAGTCATTACCTCGAACGCGAAACTCTGTTTAAATTGGTTCAATCAGATGTTTAGTCGTGGGTCCCTTTCGTCCTTCTTGAACAGGTTGGCGCTCGGTGCAGCTCTTCCCTCTTCCTTCTCGTTGAGGTGGACAGTGCCGCCACCCTTGTCACCTCCAACGCGCCATGTCATGCCAACCTGGCCGGCAGTCAGAGCATCTCCGTCTCCATCTCCCACCTCTCAGCAACTGCTGCTACCGTAACGGCGCCGCGATTCGGCGAGGACACCTGAAATCAAATCACGCTCTACGACGGCACGTTCAATCCGTACGTAATTTTCCGCTGGGGTGTGGCAAAGATTACTTACTTGTACTAGCACCTAGCTCGAGTGAGGCGTCGATACGGGTGTCTCAGCACAGCTGCAAGCCACCGGCAAGCCTCTTCAACGCGTCCGTTGAGCTGCTGGCACGTTCCCTGAGCACCTGTCATCCAACCATACCGCACGGCCGATGCCAATTGCCCGTTGTTATTTGTTCCTCCCGACGAGCAAGCCGTCCGTCCTGTCTGGGACCTGCAGATCAGCTCTAAACGATACCCAAGACATGACATATGAAGCGCGGCCTTCTTTATTTGCGACTCGAGAAGGAGGAAAACACTTCTGTGGCGTTCCATCAGCCAAGTGCTTCCAGGAGCCCGTCGAGTCAATTGGATGTCACCCTAATGTGCTGGGTGGAAGTTTTTTCCCCAGTTGCCCGTCTCGTTTTGGTCGGCAACCCAGAATCAAGGTTGCATGTTCCTGGCCACCACCCCGGCTGGACCAGTTGAACCGCGAGTCGTCCAGGTCTAGCTCAGTAGCTCTGTGGTGCCGCTGGCGACGACCCCAGCAGAAATGCAAAGCTAACGCCTGGCTAAACCAAACAAGCGTGACGAGCTACCTTGCACACCCTCTCCACCATCCACTTCCCCCAATGACGGCGCGGGCTGTCGGCGCGCATACCTGGGATAAGCTTTGCGAGCCCAGCAGAATTGGGAATTGGACCAGCGAGCCCTCCTGGTCTTAGTCTTTGGAGATGGGCAGGTCTCGGCAGGGGTTCTCCGTACGTGAAAGTGGTGGCTTGAGAGGTGGAAGCGCATATTTATCACCCCCTTCCCGTTCCTCGACTTCTCTGAATTCTTTTTCACGTCACGCATCCTAATCCCAACGTCGACCGTCCGTCTGTACAACTTCATCATCGTACCTGCCGAATCTCGCCTTTCGACTATCACGTCTTACAACACAGATCAAAATGAAGTTCTCTCTCGCCCTCCTCGCCGCCGGCCTCGTTGCCGCCCAGGACTTCTCCGGACAGCCTGACTGCGCCGTACGTCGCTCCTCCCAGCAACGATCCTCTTGTTGTAAACAACAACTCGACTAACAACCTTGCCATAGATCCCCTGCCTTCGCGATGCCATCCCCAAGGTTGGCTGCGCCCTGACCGACACTGCCTGCCAGTGCGCCTCCGACAAGCAGGAGGCCCTCGTCCCCGTCGCCGCTCCCTGCCTGCTCTCCGCCTGCAGCTCCGCCGACCTGGGTAAGGCCCAGGCCGCTGCCGCCGCCGCTTGCCAGAAGTTCCTGGCCACCGCCAGCGGCTCCGCCAAGCCTACCGGCTCTGCCGCCTCCGCCGCTTCCTCCGCTGCCGGCGCTCTCTCTTCTGCCGCGGCCTCCGTCAGCGCCTCTGCCTCCGCTGCCATCACCTCCGCCGCCTCTGTCGCTTCTTCCGTTGCCTCAGCCGCTTCCTCTGCTGCCTCCGTTGCCGCCTCCGCCTCCCGCAACGCCACTGCTTCCAGCACCACCCTCTCCGGCAGCCGCACTCCCTCTGCCTCCGCTACCGGCACCGGTGCCAGCGCTACTGCCTCTGCTACCGGTGCCGCCGGCCAGGCTACTGCTGCTGTTGGCGGTGTTGCCGTTGCCGCTCTGTTCGGTATCGTTGCCGCCCTCTAAGCGCTTTCAGCGTGTGGAGGGGATGTCCAGATTGGACAGGGAAAGGGGGTTTTCGTTTCTAGCGCAGCAAGACTTGGGATGTATTGGATGATTTCTACAATTGAACGTTCTAGACTTAATGCGAATTGCGAATTGGACAGGAAACACCAAAAAAGTTTCGTCATGATCACGACCTGTTCTGTTGTTGCCACGGCCGCAGCACCTTGTTAGGAAACAGGAGGTATATATTTAATTGAACACATCAAGAATCAGCAGCCCTTCCTTCTTCCTGACCGACTTGTGATACGAGGGACAAATTTGGCATGCCGATTGTCTGGGCGGCCTCTGCAGCCACTCGGGGATTTACTTCGGGAGAGGGGTAAAGGGAACTGAATCAATGCGGGCGCGGGGGGCAAACTCACAACCTTTTCCCTTCAAGCCTTGATGGCGCAGCAGGTGCCGGCCGATGCCAAGATGACGGGCGAAGTTTCCCGCTGCTGACGACATCCGTCCGGTTTGCGTTTGGGCTTCAACCTTCCTTTCTTATCAACGGGTTTGCGTCAATTGGTGGTGGGCTGGAGGTGAGATGGATGGCTGAGGGTTGGGATCCCTGGGGCTGTGGAAGCTTAAACTGCCGTACACGTACACACACCTCTTTGGAGACTTGTGGAACATGGGAAAGAGTTGATATGAAGTCATGGGCTTTTGTGCCTTTTCGTTTCTTATGTAATGTATAACGGTGTTCGACCCGCATGCAGTCAAAATGGAATGGCAGTATGCGACTGATTCATACCCGGTCGAGACCCGTTCACCGTGAGGGCGTCTGTGATGCCCATCTTGTATATGCAGAACCGCCTCGAGGTGTTGGCGCTTGGCGAGTCTATAGTCTGAAATCTTTTAACAAATTGCTCAGACAAGTCAGCATCAACGGAAAGATGTGAGCTCCATCCGTCGGAGACCTCGCGTATAAATTTTCAGTATCCCGCCGATCCCGCCGGCTCTCAATTTCTTCAACAATATCGGTCTCGCTCAGAATCCTCGCCACGCGGTGATGCATATCCAGGAAGTCGCGATCTGGAAGTTCAAGCGCGTTGTGGGCTGAGAGGACCATCTTCGTCATGAGGTAGCCGGTGTTAAATGGGTAGCCTGACGATATGCGCCCCAGAACGACGACTTCGTACTCATTCTCCTGCATTATAGGGGTCAGCTTCGGGATCGGATGGCTCGTGGATGAAGAGAAGGTAGATATACCGTCGGAAGCGGTTTGAACGCCAAGTGACACTCTCCAAAGTCGGAGGACACGCTCCCGTTCAGAGTGAGGACGTTAGCCGGCTGGTCAATACTCGAACCGTCGATTTTGCCGGCCAAGGCGGGGAAGTACCGGTGTATGGACCACCAGATGGCTCTTTTCGCCTCGGTTTCTCGGGGTGTGTCCTCAGTGTGGTCTTTTAGCCCGTAAGGCAGTACATGGCGTGACGCAGTATAAGCTACTGGCTCGGTCTCGGGCTCGAGCTCGTCTTGTACGCGGTGGATATCGATGTTGCCGGTGTAGACACAACGGTGGCCGTCGCGGGCAAGACTGGTTTCGCTTTGGTGCTTGATCCCGTTGGCGTATTTGGACACGGAGCCGAGGAGGTCGTGTCTGTGTTGTAGAGAGGGCGGTCCGAGGCTTAGGAGTTTAACTGAGTTGGACAAATCATCAGTCATCTGAGAATGGTAGTTTGGTAGTGGTGAAGCATTCTCGTAGAGAAGATGGTTTGTCTGACTTACAGGGAATGAGAATGGCTGTGAGCAAGTGGACGCCGAGCTGTTGCATATAGAGCATGCCGCCTGACTTGGCGCAAGCAAGGATATCGTCTATGAAATTCTCCAGACCGTCCTCCGGGAGATGCTCGCGGAAGGCCTTGAGTACGGCGAGAGCTTTTGCCTCGGCGGAGATGTCTGACGAGGAGCTGTTGAGGATGACATCGCATTGCTCTAATTTCTCGTGATGATTGTCATTTTCTTCTCCATCGTTTGAAGATATTGAGATTGTCGACGACGAGGACGAGGAAGGGGAGGAGAATGGTGATGACGATGGAAGGTCTGAAACGCGCAGAAAAGGATGTGGTGCGATCAGACTGTGCGTGGAGTTTGCCATCTTGGGCGGTGCTCAAAGTCCTACGCTGAGAGGTGGAAGTTGAGGGCCTCGTGGTTTTTTTTTAACATTGGTTTTGTCACGATGTACTTTCTTATCTATTTATCAATCAAAAATTCGTCCACTTATCATGTCACACTTGCAAACGTAGATGGTCTCTGGTTATCTGATGGCAAAGACTTCAAGGTTGACCCACCAGCTCTGCTGTAGATGGGCATATTTCTATCATAGAGGCGCGGACCATCGTTCTCAAGGTACGTGGACTTCGAGTTCTCCAAGTCCATCCCTCTAAAACTCCACATAACTGGTTGTTTCTATTCTTATGATCCCATTCACCTCGGCCACTCATCGCGATAGTTGGTGTTTAACTTACAAGACACTGCCTCGGGATCAATCACAATCTCACAAACCCATGATGTTGATAACAAAGGATGCATAAAAATAAAACAACCTGAGTAGTGAGATCAAATATCCAAGCAAGACAGACGCATGATGCTTCCCTCAACAATGGACGGCTAGGTCACCATATTGTTTGACAAAAGCTTTCGAGTGATATCACTCGAGGCTTAGCTGACGATCGATGATCTTTTCCCCAGTACTTGTGCTTACTGAATTTTTGACTGCTTATTTTTCTCTTATCGTCCTGCAAGAGACGTGTTTTTCCGGCTGGGTGAACACAAATGCCGTCAGTCTGTTCTACCGTATGAAACATGGCGGTTAGCCTCAGCCAATAAGTTTGTGCGTCGCTATTCCTGGGAAGGTGACATACGTGAAGTACAAGAGGTGGTCATATACATGAGGAAAGACTTTGTCGCACAAAAATCTCCCTTTCTTACTTGCTCTCTAAAACACGTAGCCTTTGCAGAACGTGTGAGCCATAAAAAGTTGAGGTTGGCCCAAATTTTCAAGTACGCTAGCCTTGATACCCTGATTCCAGAGTTGAAGACTGCTCTTTATGGAAGATTCCTCTGATCAATAGTCATGTCCAACTTTTGCCCCGCTGTCGACTGCTCTTATAACTATTCGGCCCCAGAATTGAATAGCGACATCGCAGGAACAGGAGTAAGTCCCAGGGCAAGCTACCGGAGCAGCCTCGTTCGCTGGACGCAGGTTAGATGGATATAATTGCTTATCTCCTTGAAATAGGTCGTCATTGGTTTCGTAGGAACAGCCTATCTCGTGTTGTTTCTCCTCTTCATCCACTACCTAGTCGCATTCGACCCCATTCTCCCTCCCCCTCCAAGAGAAAGCATTCGCTCCGATCAGGCCAGTCTCCAACATGGACAGCAAAACGAAGAGTCTTCTGGAGGAAGTAGAAGTAGTCCAGACTACTGGAAGCCGAACACTATTGACGTTCAGCTCCTTACATTTGTAAGACAGACTACGAAAAAGATTCTCCGACAGTGTCCGGATTCACCTACCGAGTTCTGGACTCGTCATTCCGCTTATTACCAACGTAGCTTTGACCGAGTAAGGCCCTACAATTTGAGTGCAAGTATTGAAAGCTAATTCTTTTACGTAGGCCATCAGCAACATGTGCGACATTCAAATCATAACCGGCATAAGCGTTCTTACAGGAGGTTTCATCTGCCTAGATGAGAATATGTCCTCTCACCACTGGCAACTGATCGTCTATCTTGCATGGTTCTCGAGCATCACTCACCTTTCTGCCTTGACTTCTCTCCGAAGGTATCTGCAGGTTCATTCACGAGAGAAGTATGTGCGGCTATCTTTGATGTTTTTGTTACTGATAATGCTTGTGACGGCAATGATACCGACATCATTCTTCAACTGGCGGAGTTCTATTGAGGAAACAACACGAGACGACACTGCTGCACGTGACAACACTGCCGCCTATCCAAAAATGCCTGCGGTATGCTTTTTCTCAATCAAATGTGGGAAGGCACTTTACTCTCAAAGAACTTACGACAGTTCTACCACAGTCCCTTTCACACGTTCAATTGCGTTCCAGGAAACGATTATATCTCTCACGCTCCTGATATTTAGCTTCATCTCCAGGGTAATCAAGTTATCGACACGCACTTCCAGCGTCCTGCATCGAATAATTATACGACCCATCAGCAAGTACCTCCATGATCTTTCCAAGAGATTAGATAGCAGTCCTATCCCCAGCGCTAGTAGTTCTTCTTTCATCGAGCCCCATTCCAGTCTACATGTGTGGACGACGGTCATCAAAAGACCTGCATCAGCAGTGGTAATAGCTATGCAAAAACAAACAATACTGCTGAACTCCATGTTATTAGAGGTATTGACGCAGTTTCATATTGTGTTTTATATACGAGCTGATATGTTACTGTTTAGCAATATTGGTTGTTAGTCATTTTACTTTGGGGAACTTCAAAACTTAAGCGGTCCCTTGTTGAGGAGTGGCATTATGAAAAGCTTTCCGGTCGCGAACCTTCTCCCTTCTGGAATGATGAAATTGAAGTCGAAGGAGAAAATATTATGGCCAATAATACGCGATGGGAGTTTGGCCAAATACTTCCGATCTTACTGCTGGCTGCCCCGCTGAGCACTATGCTTGGTAATTTCGCCTCGACCACAAACTCCTCCCCAAATCAAATCTTAGGGGCTGCTGAGTCGACTATCCAAAGCCATTCTCTGGATGTAGCGGGCAGCTACAGAAGATCACGCTCTTCTGAAGCACAAGATAGGCCGCAACAGCTCACCCAGCAATACACCCATGACAGCTACAGAACAAGTCGCCTAGAGCTCTCGACAACATTGACGGATCCACATTCAGATGTCAAAGGGAAGTGGATGCTGCCGTATTTGGCTTCGAGCTTTGTTGTGCTTTGTGGGCATACCTTCGGCTTGTTTGGCTACGCAACAGAAACGTTCCTTCGTGGAACTGAATTGGGCTTATTGGGACTTTGGATGCCAATAGATTACTTGTTCAGGATTAAAGGAGTTTTCTTCCTGGCCATCCTGAGTTATCTTTTTGCGGGTCATGCAATCATTCTATTTGGTCTTGCTATGGATGAATGGCAAGGCCAACTGAACTCCGCAATATACTGGGTTTTTGCGTTGGCCGTGCACACTATGCACCTTTTGATCATTTATCTACCGACGGATTGGGTGTTTGTCAAGAGACTGTGGATTATTCTGTCTGCGGGGTTTGGGCTACTACTGGTGTTTGCTCTCACTTTTGCACTGGTTCAGCTTTCGAAGAGATTTTCGAGTACAGCATCTCGGGAGGGAAATGCGATTGAGGATGGGCTTCGTGTTTCTTAGGATTGTGATCACAGACGCAACACTGAGAACATTTCCATAGTCCCAGCCAGCATTCAAGGAGAATAGGCAAGGCTTGAGCTTTGCAGAATACGTGGCCCGGGTTCTCTACATCCGCCACTTCTAGCAGCCTGTCAACTGTGTCAGCTCCGTTGCTCATGAACCGCCTCACTAGACGCGAGACGTTTCCACGCTCCTCGAGTCATATTTCACGTTGAACAAGCTGGTTTGATTGTATGAATGATGTGAATGACATACTGAGGACCTTGAAATCGCAATACACAACATGCAACTCACGCCAGCTCAACTAAGGTCTTGGCGTATGTGCAGCTATCGCAGCCACATTACCCAACCTGAGCCATCCAGGCGGGAAACCTCAGAATTTCAGCCAATCAACACCGACCCAACCTGGTGGTTGACTTTGGAGTTTTCAGCTTTCGACGCCACGTTGGATCACGCCGCGCCGTCGGGATATTGGAGGTCGGGAGGATTCGCAAGGGATGCGAGGAAGGATTTGGGACCCCGCGGCTGCCGCCCACTGCGGCCCCCACCATCGGACCTTAACGCCTGCCAAAAGGGCACTAACACGGACCAGGTGCCCCTCCTTGAGCGAGCCAGAACGCGGCGGACTGGGTGATGGACGGGGATGTTGGTCTCTGAAGGGCAGGTTCGCCGGCGCACCGTCCACTGGAGGAGGGGGAGTCGGCCGGTTCCGCCTTCCAGGGCCGGTTGCGGTGTGTTGGTCCGGGCCAGTTCACAGTGGCTGGCCAGTCAGGCGTGCGGAACGTCACATGCAGACCACCCAACCCTCGTGGCAACTGAAGAAGCTCCCCACCTTCCTCCCTGTCACTGGCGCGATACCTTGCAGTTAGCGATAATGGATAGCGCAAGCTCCCCTAGCACCTGAAAGTTTTTTCCCTTTTCTTTTTTGTTGGCTGATGCTGGGATGTCACCTCGATAAATTCCTCCCGTCGCCGTCTAGCCTCACCTCTCACCACCTCTGGTCCCCCTCCTCTTGCGACTGAGAGTTTTGCGCCGGTCTCGATTGCGACCAGTTCCGTCACGCGCTGCCCAAAGGAAGACAGGCCATCGCTGTCTCCTGTAGTCTGCTCACAACACCACCAGCTCCAAAGCTCTTGGACGACAATCATATGTTGCGCGCCATCTCGGCCGACTTCTTCAACTACCACTTCCCGGCGCATCGGTCTATGTGCCGTTCTATCGCAAGATAGAATCACCAGCAGGCGACTTTGAGTCTTTGCGCTTGCTGCCAGGGGACGAGAAAGACTGAATAGCAGTGTTATTCACGTGAACCACCACTTACCGCGACAATACATCTCAATTGAGGACTGAGACCTGTCGCGCGAACGACATCGTTTGACCGAGCTTGTACGTAGGTATGTCAAACGAAATGAGATAGCACCCTCTCATATTGTGTGCGACAGCGGCTGACCGCATCGCCAGATTGTATGCCAGGCGTTGCCTCACGAATCGAGTCCGTACTGTCGCTACCGCTCTCGCGATTGCCTTTCACCACCACCAGAACCTCCGATCCTCAACGAGAGAGACACGCCTACGAACCATTGCCCACGATGGCCGCCGAAGACACCCCCAAGAACCTCGACCACTCCCCGGTGACGACGACACAGATCACCGGTGGCATCGACGAGTCTGAGCTGGTCAACCAGGGTCTGCAGAACATCGAAGCGCAAAAAGTCCACTGGTGGAGCTACTTCACCACCGTCGACTTCTGGATCGTCCTTGTCATCGGCCAGATCCTCGCCCTGTGCATCACCTCGACGAACACCTTCACCAACCTCCTGTCCACCAACGGTGTTTCGATCCCGGCCTTCCAGACTGTCTTCAACTACATCCTCCTCTTCCTCATCTACTTTCCCATTACCATCTGGCACTATGGTGTGAAGAGGTGGGCCAAGATTTTGCTTAAGGACGGCTGGAAGTACTTCATCCTCTCGTTCCTTGATGTTGAGGGCAACTACTTCACGGTTCTGGCCTACCGCTACACCAACAT